TTCACACATACCACTTATTACCTCACGGCGCAAGAATCGCGAAATTTATTTGTTTTCTTTATTACATTTTTATCAATGATTGTGGCTGATGATATTTACAAAATGAGTACTTATATAAAACACCTTATAAAGTTACGATGAACATACCGAATAATGAAATAATTTCTAACGGGAGATCATTTAGGTCACCCTTGGATTTTTATTTTTAATTTATAATGCCTGGCGCTATGTACCATGTCTATTACATCTTAAGTTCTTGAGTAGGGACTAGATTACACTAAAAATAAAAATTGATCCTAAAATTTTTTAGTGGTTTTTAAAAAAATAGTCATAACTTTATGTTTTTCGCAATATCAATTTTGAAATGAGGTCATCGTTAAGGCTCCAGATAGACGCCATAGATAAATAAAAGTTGCCCCGTGTTTTCTCAAGCTCAAGAGGCCCTATTTCTTTTATTTATTGCGCTGTAATACTGCCATTTGCCACGTTGTCAAGGTTTTGCATGTCGTGAATGTGTTTTATGTGATTGCTTTAGAATTATGACATGTCCATTTAAATGTCAGGGAAGGAAATTGAAGCATTTTAAAGATTAAACATTTTTGATAGGGTTAATAAATGATTTGAACTTAATAACTTATTACAGCTCCCATGATATTGACAGAATTGGCCATTAATCAAAAAAGAGAAGATTTATCTCGAAGACGTTGTTTACCTTTATTAGCGTTTTTTATTTTAATCAAAAATAACTTTTTTATGTGAGAAGGTGGCAAGTGTCATGGCGTTTCAACTGATGTTAAATGATATCCGTCGCCCATGAACATTTGCAACACCCGCAGGGTTATAGAAGAAAGGGCCTCGGTTACCTCACTTACCAGACGAAACTCAGAAGTATAACACTTCCACTTCACGCTAATCTTCTGTGAGATCGTAGTATTTCCCGGGACGGACCTGCCGTTTGATGGATGACGCCGGACGATGCAGCCGTTTTGCATGCAGCGTTGATGCAACCTTTGACAGGTAGGATTTTGTATGGGAAAATAAAATTGTCGCTATTTCGATTTTCTATGCATTTTTCCATAATTTCTCAACTTTTAGACCTTCCCTGGACTGCCACAAATATTTCAAAACGAAAATTAGCCGAAAATTAACCGATTTGGTCCAGCCGTTCTCGAGTTTTAGCGAGACTAACGAACAGTAATCCATTTTTATATATAAGATTATTTTTTATTGGTTACGACTACGATTGGTTGTATAGTATTTTTTATTGACTACGATGGGTGGCCCTATCACATTCCATTTCATTTCTGTTCAAGGAAATTTCTCTACTATAAAAATATGTTTTCTTTCTTTCTCGCAGCCGGAAGATGGAAAATTAGTTTGTTTAAATAATGTATATATAATAATACGTTGAAGTCTCTATTGAGTGTAATTTGTTGCCTTCTTCATGGTTTAGTTCAGCATGAGCAAATTTGTGTAAAAAACATGTACTCTAATCATTATTCCATATGAATCAAACTTGGAGCAAAGTCATCGTGGTAAATTTTATTAAACATCCATCATCCCCAAATAAATATTAAAGGGTATTGCAGCATCTCATATGTATCTCACTAATACACTGAAGTGAGTAACGATGTTGCTTCTATCAAATTTCTACTGACGCTTAAGCCACTTAATTTGCCATTGGTGGATTAAATTTACCTCTACATTCTCCTCGTATATTATTTCCCTATATATGACCACATTAAATGACTTTGAAGGAGGAATTTTCTCAATTGCACCTTTAAACATTTTTGTAATATACTTCCAATGAAATTGTAGACCTAGCCTAAGTGTGAGAGTGAAAAATCGTCTGCCTCTACCTGTTTATGGTCAAAACAGGTTATTGAAAAAAAGCTTTATATTACATTCGAAATGTTCGGGGCCTGGACAAAGATTGTTAATGAAACCGAAAAGAGAATCCGGACGTTATTTAAAACAGTTTTACTTTTTTTAAAGTTTTACTTTTTTAGTGCTGTAACACATACCTTCCATTTTGGAGCAGTGCACCACTAACATTTGTATGTCGTGGAGCCCAAGATGCTGTCAGTTATATAAACAGCATCTTGGTCATACTCTATACCTGAAAGAAGCTTGCATTTCCAAAGATGCGGAATAATATTTTCCTCTGCCATTCTTTGAATGTACTTGTGGGTTCGCAGTTTAATAGATTACTACAACATCATGGTTCGTATAGCATCGATGTCATTCATGATTCTCAGAAAGTTAAGGAGCAGCAGCTAGTATGTGCTTTAAAAAGTGATGCTGGCTTGTTCGAATAGAAATTTTGGATCACTCTTTAACCGGTTTTTTCTTTTCTGATTAGTAAATCTTACCCTAAATTTGTTTGCTACTTTTAATTAATGAATTTTTAACTGTTACACTTCTTCTTTTAATTAATGAATTTTCATCTATTCTACGAATATGAATGGTAAAAGTTTCACGGTGTATTGAAGATGTAGTACTATACAAACACTACACTAATCAAAATATCCATAAGAATGGATAAATCTAGTCTAAATCGTAATTCCCTTACACAGCGTCCGCATCTGACAATTGTTCAAATAATTAGATGGACTCGGATTAGAAAAATAACACTACTAGCTCTTTTAAAAAATGTAGAGAAAATATATTAGGGCTTTATTTAAGAAAACACTTTTTTGTCAACAGATTTGAGTAATACATATGCCGAATTTATGTCGCCGTTCGTATTGGCAATCTTTTCTAAGATTGGAAATAAAGTATCGCATTCGGAGACATTACTACGAGCTTATGGCTATGGTTTTCTCATTATTTATGGTTATGATCAGCAGATTACTACTTCGCAGATCGTTATTTAAAGGCTTTCAGGAAATATCACATACAAATTCAAGAGAAAAATGGTTCCTTATCGTAGGTAGATAAATTACGTAGGTAAAGAAATAACTTCTTGTTCGAAATAATAATATTAATAAGACTTTTACCCATTTATCGCGCTTACCTCGGGTTCATATTTTACTCTGATAGAAAATTACTTGGACATCGACGATTAAACCACTTCTACGTTAGAGGTGAATGCAGTAAAACGCAGGTTTCATTTTAAGTTTAATTTTCAACCTAACAGCTTCGTAACTTTCATAACTCCATAGTTTACCAGCTAAATATAACAGATGCACTCAACTAATGAACATTGTTCATACATTATACAATTACTTACAGTCAGTATCGAAAAACAAATAATTTTATCTTTATCACGAAATTTGGGTTTATCACCAAAATACTATTCTTATATTTACTAAATTCCCATTACTCAATTCATAAATACAATTTCATATATGAGGATAAGCAATGCGAACGTAGGAATTACTGTATGTTTACTAAAAAGTTACTTTTTTAAACACAAGAAGTATGGAAGACTTAATACGAAGATTCTGGAAATTATCAATATCAAAGTCATGTCTTATTAACGTTGAAAAGTAACTTAATATTGCAACATACATAAGTGCTGGAAGCTTTTCCAGATTTAATGAATCATATAACAACTATTTAAGAGTGACAAGCTATGTAAGATTTTAACAGTTACACGCCTACCTTTCGTTTCCTAAATTATACATTTAGTTCAAAATCTATTGATAATTACTCACAAGCTAATACATTAGAAATAGGAAAGGCACAGTCGAAGTATAAAATTTATTGCTGACACCCCTAACTAATTACGCTTCATCTCCATATCAAGAATTGTGAGATTTATTTTAAGTCCAGAGAAGAGGTCTTATACTACGTTGTTCAAATATTACTTACATATAAGTAAATCCGTCACTTATAACGTTAGGTGCAACAAGATGTAACCAAGAATAGAGTCAAGTATCAGAGTTATGAATTAAAAATGTCAATTCCAATATGGATATAAACGTTTCAGAACAATTTTAGAAAATATTTTTACATTAAACTTTGGCACGTCCAAATATAACACTAAACAACATACTTTTTTAATTCGTACTATAGAGTGCTACTATGAAACAGTAGCTTCCATTCAGTTGTATTCACATATGGGTGTTATCTCATCTACGGTCTAAAATTATGTGCGTATTGACATATTTAACAGATCTAAAGTATATTGTTAGTATGAAAATAGGATTTATGTATTTATATTCAGAAAATATTAAATTTAGTTTCTAAGAGAGTAATATTCAAACTTTAAGGTTTTGAATTCATTTGAATCAATATTCTATAAAAGAAAATTTTAAAATCTTAGCTGGAGCACTAGTAGGTATACCAATGCATTACATAAACTATACCAATGATTACTGTAATCATTGGTCTAAGTAATTTAAATAAATGTTTATTTAAGTGTTTTACTTGATAAGAATTGACTGAATAAAACTACTATACATTCATTCAAATTAAAATCATCACACAATCTTAGAATTGTTTCGTTGAGGATTTCTTTGAGAACTTCGTTACAATAATTTAAATAACGATTTAACACTTTAACAGCAAGCACCGTACTAATTATTGACTAAAGTAATAGAGTGATCATTCGATCTCGTAGAAAATGTCTCACCACAACAAATTGACTAGTCAACTAATGCTTACACTGAGTAACTTTGTAATCTAATTTAAATTTATAAGAGTCTGTGAAGCTTTTGAACCGGCCGCATTTTATCATTAGGGTGGAGATACGAGAGGAGAAAAACATAAAGGCTTTCAGTCGAGCTTTCCAATCACAGGCATTACTTCGCTTCCTAGCCGGTTGTAACAAGGGAAGACCCTCAAGTGTAATGGCAGTTGATCAACAAATTAATTTGTCCTATTTGTCTTCACGATTGTGCAACCGGGTTCAAACTTCTTTTCTTCTTTCTTTGTCATTCGTATGGAAAACGAAGGTTCATAAAATGGAAACAAACAGGGGTTCCTGGACAGCTTAATCGCGTTATCTAGATGTAGACTTCATGGTGTTGTTGCGGCCGGCCCTGCCTGGACTAGGAGATACATTCCGTCAATTCCACTTCCACATCCGTTTCTGGTCTTGCTGTGTCTATTTTACGCCGCTCCGCAATAACAATTCTTATGCTTTCTTCCTCGCTTATCGGTTTATCTACTGCTTCTGGAGTTAAGTGACATTTTACTGAACTATGGCTTACTTCACTATTAGCACTAGACTCTATTGATAACCTTTTCTTGGATCCTGTGAGCCTTAGACTTTGCCGCGTTGAAGGTACGGCCAGTAAAACTGGTGTCGGTCTTAACAATCTTGCCTCTTCACCTCTTAAGGAGTTTCTTTTGTCTGATCGTTGTCTTCGATTGTTCGCGAAGGAATCCCGCCTAGGTGGACTTCCTGGTTCTAATTCTTCGATATCATCTGCATCAATAAAGCGAGCGTCTTCTTCGTATAACACCGCCCGCGTGTCCGATGTAGATTCCTGACGACGTCGCCCAAACGCATGTGGCGATAAAGAAGCCCTCCTTTTTGGCACTGCTAAAGGAGTTGGTAAAAGCGCATGGTGTGAGTGCAAAGTACGCCGACGTCTTATTGGGGAAGGTATTGGTTGTTGTTTAGGCTCACTATAGGTGAAATTTGCTGGTAGGGACGGTACTTTATTTAACGGTCTTGGCGGTGATATGCATTCTTCTAAAGCTCGACATAAAGCGCGATCTTCTTCATCATCGGCCTCCCGTTCCAATTCTCTTTCAAGTTCGACATCCATGTCCATTTCATCTTCCATTTGTTTGTGTGATTCTTCTAGGTGTTTCATTAGAACCTAATGAAATACGATTAATGTTCAGTGAGTGTTAAATACTCAAGTTTAGGAAATACCATTCGTATAGAATATATTTTTGTTTTACAATAAAAATCTTGCATATTTCGAGATTTAGATTGATAATCTTAAGGGGAAAATAACTTACCGCCACAACCACATTGACTAGAACAAACTGTGCCATTAATACGAACACTACGAAGAATATAGGTGCAATTACAGTTGAAACGCAACAATTTCGTACACAATCAACGGAACTATCGCAATCTTCTCTGAGAGTATCTTTCATAATCCCGTTCCAGTTATCCCGGTTGCAACCCGAAACAATGTCAAAAACGCCATTCCGAAGTTGGCGAAGTGGGCATGCTCTCCAAGTCCTAAAATAAAGTGTAACAATATGATAATATATTCACTATAAAGTGTAGACTGAAATAACATATGTAATTAAGTAATAAGTGATTGAAATATTACCTTGACATGGTATTTCATCGGAGCATTCAAGCCGACCGAATAACTCAACCCCCAATGCGGCGAATATGAAAAATAACAGAAAAAAGAGGAGCCCCAAGTTGCCAACTTGTGGTAACGCCTGCATCACCGTATCCAATAACGCTCTTATACCTTTCGCCATTTTTAGTCAATTTCAGAACTCGCGCTATTCGTAATACTCTCATAACCCTCATAATAGTGGGATTTATCGGTATAATATTTGTTTCAAGTTCTTCTAAAACTATTCCCACAATGGAAAGTATAACGATAATAACATCTAGCTGATTCCATTTGTCTTTGAGGTAAATTTTAATACCCAAAGCTACCAGCTTCATCGCTGCTTCTAGAATAAAGACAGCAGTGAAGAAGTAATTGAAAATTTTCAGCGCATATTCTAAAGCGGGGGGCATTCTGTAATATTCAATTGCCATTGTCACTACATTTAAGCCTATAACACCGGCAATGGCTAAATCGAAATACTTCGACGTTACGACGTTATGCACAAAGAGCCTTGTTTGGCCGTAGTCAGAGTAGTAAGGTCTTTGATGCATCTCTGGAAAATACAAGTTTGTATTATGGTAGCTAAAACATAATTATCTTATTATAAATGTTAATAATGTCTAACAAAAAACAATACTTCTTCTTTTTTTCTCCATTTGAAGCGCTCGTTTTGCCGCTCTTCTTACTCTTTCCTCTTTTTCTTGCTCTTCACGACATCGGTGAAAATTTTCGACTACTACTCCCACGAACATGTTAAGTACAAAGAACCCCACGAGAAGTATAAATGCTATGAAATAAAGCAACCGCCACTCGGAATAATTAACTATCGGCTGTAAAATGATAAACATATTATTAAAAAACATATATAATTTTGTTTATCTTATTATATTTAAGTCTATTTTGGTATTAAGTAAGTTTATTGAGCACACCACCTCCCACTATTCATTAGTTTATTTTTCCTCATCCTAAGGTTGTCTGGAAGAGATCGCTTTTTAGCGATAAGACCGCCTTATTGTACCTAGCTTTTAAGACTTATTTACTAATTGTATCAAATTCTTTGTGGTGTACATTAAAGTATATAATAATAATAATAATAGAGGGCCCTTGGACGCAAGTCGTGGCGAGCCAATGTGCAGATATTACACCCATGGACCCCGTCGTCATAACACCCGACGACGTATCTGAGGCAGTCCGTAGAGCCCCGAACTGGAAAAGTCCGTGACTCGACGGGCTGCATCACTACTGGCTGAAGGGGTTCGTGGTGTGTCATGCTGTGCTCGCCCGACAGTTCCAAGAGGCTTTCGAACAGAGGTTCCGAAAGATCAGGTTACCACAGACCCGAGTAAGTACCGCCCTATTACGTGTCTACCGACCATCTATAAGACACTGACATCTGTTCTGAGCATGAGAATCACCCGACATATTAATATGAATCGGATTATGTCTCCTGCTCAGAATGGATGTCGGGGCGGCGGTCGTGGAACCAAGGAACCGCTTCTCATCGACGCGGTCATTGGCAAAATGGTTAAACGCAACCGTCGGAACTTCTCCGCCGCCTGGATAGACTACAAAAAGGCATTCGACTCTGTGCCCCATACATGGCTAAAGAGGGTCCTCGAACTGTACAAAGTAGACTGTACAGTAAGAGACTTCCTCGAGCACTGTATGGGACAATGGAGTACGATCCTTTGTCATCTAGGCGAGCGGATGACGGCTGCGGAATACCGGATAAGGATACGACGGGGTATTTTCCAGGGCGACGTCAATATGGTTTAGCCTCTCTCTGAATCCTCTCAGCGTGTTACTGGGGGGCTCGGGGGGAGGATTTCAGCTTCGGAGGGGAGGGACAAAAGTGACCCACCTTTTCTACATGGATGACCTCAAATTATTCGCCTCCAATCGCTCCCATTTGATGGAATTGCTTAAAGTCACTTGTGATTTCAGCAATTCTATCAAAATGGAGCTCGGGACGGATAAGTGTGCGGTCCTTCATGTTGAAAGGGGTAAGGTCACTAATACGGAGGGCATAGACTTATCTATGCCCGTTAACATAAGGACCCTCTCTGAGGCTGAAACATACCAATACTGTCACATAAATGTACACACATACTGTAATGTCACAAAACATGTGTATCGATGAGGCTGGCATGAAACAGTCAGTTCGTGATGTGTTTTTTGCACGCCTGACAAAGGTGTTTAACAGCCATTTGTCAGGCGTGAACAAGGCACGCGCATTTAACGGCTGGGTCATGCCAGTCCTCATGTATACCTTTGGCATACTCAGGTGGACTCAAACTGAGCTCAATGCCCTGGACCGAAAAGTCCGCACAACTATGACGTCCCACAGGATGCATCATCCGAGATCGTCAGTGATGAGGCTGTACCTGCCGCGGAAGCATGGCGGGAGGGGCTTTTTGAGCGCCCTTACCATGCACAATCGCGAGGTGTACAGCCTCCGCAACTACTTCTTGGCGAGATCGGATGAGTCAATCTACACGGACGTCATTAGTTGTGATAAAGGACTTACCCCTCTGTCCTTAGCCAACGAGCAATGGCAGGACCCGGGAGTACTGAGCGTTTCCGACCGGGAGGCCGTATGGAAGGAGAAAGAGCTCCACGGGAGGTTCTACAAGGCCCTACACGAAACTTTCGTAGATACTACTGCCTCCCTCAACTGGCTATGTTTCGGTGACCTCTTTGGGGAAACCGAAGGTTTTGTCTGTGCGATACAGGATCAGGTTATTAAGACGAACAACTATCGGAGATACATCCTCAGGGACGGCACCGTCGACATCTGTCGAGCTTGTCGCCATCCCGGGGATTCGCTTTGACATGTTATCTCCGGTTGTTCCATGCTTTCTAACTCTGAGTATCTGCATAGACACAACCTAGTAGCCAGAATCCTACACCAGGAGCTCGCTCTGAAATGCGGCCTCGTGGAACGGAAACTGCCGTACTATAAGTACTCTCCGAAGGCCGTGCTCTAAAATGACCGCGCTAGGCTCTATTGGGACCGGTCCATCATCACGGACAGGACGATTGTCGCGAACAAACCTGATATCGTGTTGATGGACCGGGCACAGTCGCGGGTATTTTTGGTCGACATTACCATTCCATATGACGAGAACCTCGTGAAAGCCGAAACAGATAAGAAGACGAAGTATCTGGACCTGGCTCACGAGGTGACCGACATGTGGGGTGGTGTGCCGACCGAAATTATCCCGATAGTCGTGTCTGCGAATGGGTTAATCCCAGTCAGCCTCTCCAAACATCTGAGGCGACTGGGACTCCGGGACGGATCGCTCCAAGCTCAAATGCAGAAGGCGGTGCTCCTCGATACCGCCCGCATCGTCCGCCGGTTTCTCTCCCTATCGCCCTAACCCTCGGCCGTTTGGTCTCCCCTGCCGAGGGCTTCCGTCTGGTTGGGTCCTATTTATATATGTATTATATACAACATTATATGTATTTGTTTATTTTTATTCATAATATTTATTTTATATATGCAATATGTATCTATATTTTTATTTTTATTTATAAACCCAACCAGACGAGAAAACAAATGAATATCCCCCCAAAATAATAATAAAAACAAAGTTAAACGGGCATATTCTCGGAAAATACGGGAATTAATATAAATTTTTTTCCTTGTTATATATTATTAAGAACGGTTCACGGTTAGTTCAAATACGTCATCGACAAATTAAGAGTGAAACATTTGTACGGGAGATAACATTGTTACCTGCTGATCGACTCCAACAGCGTCCAAACCAGTGTACATTATGTTAACCCAGCCGTCTCTCGAGCTTAACACGAATAGCGACATTAAAGCTTTCCCAAGATCATCGAAATTATACTTTCGATTAACCCACACGTTTCCTTCGATTGCCAAGCAATCTGACTTGTTTTTTACGTTTTTAATGTTGGCACCTTCGCAGTAAAAGAAAGCGCCTTTAAAAAGCTGAAAATTAAAATACCAGATTGAATTTTAGATTGGTGGGTATTGAATATTATTTATGCAATTTGTTTTAAACGCAAAGAAATTTAAAATGTGACTTGACTCGAATCATATGCCATCTGTTCGTAAGTTGAAAATCCACATCAGCGTACACACGCTAATAATTATGTGTACTCTAATTCTTATGTTTTTAGTGAGTAATATAACTACAAACAAATTTGACTTACCTGCACTCCCAAAATGCCAAAAATGATGAAAAACGTGCAACAGATCAAAACAATATTTCCAATGGGCCGTAATGAAGAGAGCAACGTTTGAACGACTAACTTTAGACCCGGTGCTCTATTTATTACTCTTAGCGGTCTTAATGATCGCAGGAGTCGAAACACCTAAAAATTTGAAGATCTAATGACGTTCGGAAAAATATTAAGCTTATTAAACTTATAAATAAAAACATATATACAAACATTGATTCGTTTTTACCAGTGTACTCATGAGCAATAGTCATTTAGTTTACCTACCCTTAAAATTCCAAAAATTCGCGGACTAGATTCAGACACCAGGGACATCAGTAAGTCTATAATAGATATAATAACAAGTGAACCGTCCATGATGTTCCATCCGGAAGTGAAGTACGCTTCCGCTCCGTAGAACATTCCAGATGCAACCACCTGCAAGATTCAATGTTTACGCCTGTTTAGCTTAATAGCTCCCGATTGAGTTTCGATATAAAATCCACTTGTTTTGGATCGCTTGCCTTTATGAGCATTTCCATAGCGAAAACACCGGTGAAGACATAGTTAGCACTCGAAAGAAAAGCTCTTTCCTTTGAATCTGGCGGTATGTTTGGTCGTTCCATTGCGAGTGTAATGCAATTGAGCGCAATGAATAGAAGGACAATGTTATCGAACCAGCTTCTCGTCACCATCCATGTGCAGAATTTTCTTATCCTGTTTGAAATAAACATTGCATAAGCGTAATTTACGATTGTTTAAAAAACAGCTTGTTTGATTTTTATGATGTGCGTTTGTTTATAAATCACTGAATAATTATCACTAAATAACTGAATTTGAAACTTACTTGTTACCGGGAGCAAAAATGTAAAGGGAATAATCCTCTTTTTCTTTCAGGCATCCCGTGGGTTCCATGAATCGAAAAAGATCCTTAAACCTGAATTGATGTCTATTAAATCGCGACGAAAATATACAAACATTGTTATTAATGGTGACCTAAAAATGAATTCATTCATTTATTTCCATAACTTACGAAATAAATATAAAACTGAGGAGAAATAAGTAAACAAAGAGTCATTACATATATCTGTATTATTTTAATGTTAAAAATGTGTCTAAATTAATTATACATCAATATTCTTGTATTAAGATAAGTTGAAAGCTCACCTCTTCATTAATTTGTTTAATAAGCGGTAGTGGTTGATTATTTGACCGTGTCGATAAAGAAGCAGTTTCGTTCCTAGGCGTTCTTGGTTGTATTTGTGACAGTGGGGTCGATGGTGACGTTAAGTTACTTGTTTTAACTTCTGTTACTGTTGTCACTAAAAAGTTAAAGAAAAGTAATCCGAAGGTTTCAATTTAATTTATTTAACAGTAAGTTAAACATGGTATCATTACATGGTACAACAGTTATTTCAACAGTAAGAAATATCCGTTTCACCTATCGATAGTCATTTTTTAAATCTGCCACCGTTTCGTAATGAGGCTCCTCTCTCTATTGTAGAAGAAACAGACGACAGAAACTCCGTAGGTATTCGCTTTTTTGTGATTTTTTTCGTATAGTATATAATTTTTTTAGAAACAAATTGGGAGCGATCATCTCATTCCCAGGGGTTATATTCATTAATGTATTCATATTATATTTATATTATAATAACCTTTTTTTTTAAATTTTTTTTCGTTAATAAAGTTCTTAAACCTGTTATTAGACAGGCTTTTTAGACAGGCTTGCGCATTACCCTTTTATGCTTTTCACATTTTCATCCTGATTGTGTCCAAAAACTGGATATGTGGCAAATACTGAAACTTTTCAGAATTGGCCATTTACTTTAAAAAGTCATCGTGCAATTCGAAATTAAAACTCTGTGCGAACATGTTACTTTTTAATTTTCGAGTGTAATTTGTTTCTTAACTTTTTATAACAATGATTTGAAGCTGTGAAAACTTTGATCAATAATTTTTACGGTTTTCGCTGTGACTTAAGTCACAACTTGACTTGCCATGGACTTTTTGCTTTATGTGATGAAGCTCCAAGTTTTATTGTTGTTCAATAATAATGATTTTATATGACTTTTTATATCAATAGGCAACAAACGCCACATCACGGGGATCCTTGATATATTAAAAACGCTCTTAACGAACCTACTCAAACTGTTTGATGTAAATGAAGTTAATTTTTTAGTTGTTAGTTTTGTATCTTAGTTTATAACGATAAACGTCAAAATTCTTACAAATTTAAAAAGTTGTGAGAGAGTGCTGTTTGTAATCGATGTTACATAAAAAAACATTTATTGTGTTTAAATTTTATAGTATTGAAATACCGTAATCACAAAAAACTAAACGAAACAGTCATCGATGTTTTATTACTGGTGCTAATATTCAAAGTTGCGCTAGATATTCGAAACTTTTTATAATGCGAGCTTCCCAAGTAGAAATATGTGTACAGTGTAAAGAAGTCTTAAAATATTTGCATAAAATAAATGAATGTTGTACGAGAAGTAATGGGGGATTTCATTAGTTTTTATTTTGAAGATCTTATTATTTTATTTATCAAAATCTGGTTGTTTTTGCCAAATTTAAATATAAATTATAGTAATGGTCACGTTTTCCTATTGAGTAGATATATAAGATATATTTGTAAGTAAAAATATAACTCCATTACGTAAAAAATACCATGTTTTTCCTTCTTGCACCTGCACGAGGACAATTTTCTTAAGAAGTGGATCAAAGTCTTCTTTTGGCATATTAATGTAAAAAAATAAGATTCATATTGTTAGTATCTAGTTGAGAAAGTGTTGAGCAGATTAGTGTTCAATTTGTTCTGTGTATCTCTTACCCGTTAAGTAGTCGTTAGTGAGTGAGAGCCTATGAGGTGGAGTATTGGCACTCTCCAGCCTTATAGTTGAATCGGTTGAAAATCCGGCTTCTGGTGCCTTCCAAGAAACCTAAGAAGATACAAAGATTCTTAACGATGAACATTTAATCTCATGTATTATGATTAAATGTTCATGATCATGTGAACATTTAATCATGTGTAGGGTAGTCCGGTTTGGAACGTACCACGACCTCAAAGAAGAATATGAAGTGGAAGTTTTATACTTCCTCGTTTCGTAGGGTGAGGTAGCTAATCAGGGTCCAGATTTGCAATCCAACTGGGTTTGTTGATGACCATGGGCGGTGATGATCACTTAACATTAGGTGAACTGCTTGATCATTTGGTAATGTTAAATATATCGAGTATTACTTACTTAGTTTATTTATGGTTAACTCATCACATAATTCTTTTTGCAATAAACATTTTGGATAACTATGTGAAGAAAACATAAAGTCTTACATCAGGAAGCAACGGTGCCGTGTGTGCTGAAACTCTTCTAGCTGGTTGTGCCAGTACTCTAGGAGCAGGCAGCTGAGACTTAGCTCGATTGTTAGGTAACTCGGATTGCGTGTCATTTTTGATTACCATCGAGGAGGATAAAAGAAGTTCATTTTTGCGCACGCTAGATCCTGCGACATTAAAAATATGAAAATTGGATATAACAACATATTTATTATAATTATTAATGTTTACAATAGATTGACTATTTATTAATGTTTTGTTGTTAAAAAAAATAATGCGATAGAACCCGTAGTATTGTTCTAATAATAAATAATAGTAACTAAAATAGTATCAGGAATATTATGGGCAAAACAATGTTATTTTATAAGGGTTTACCGTTGCAAGTTGCATGGTCTCGACCATTGTTAAGTATTACTGCGTCGGAATCAGAGCCTGTTCTTTGTTTCTTACGACGCAGGCTAGGCCGAGATAGACGCCAACTGTAGCCCCGTTGAACTCTACATTTGTCCTCACCATTCGTAGTCGTACTTGTCACGGCTAGACTCCTAAAATAGGATTTCATTTCTTAATTATATGGCACTACAAAATAAAAGCTAAATCAGTATGGTGAACATAAAATTTTTCTCTGCATTTTATTACGAATGATACGGACATATCCTTCCATTAGATATCTTCTCAAAAACATTATATTATTATGATATTATCATGTTGAAAATGAAAAGTGTTTTAGTTTTAAATGTCTTACTTTTGTGAGCTTAGTAGACTGGACTTGTCGCTGACGTTAAGACAGTTGTCCTCTTTGGCGGTAGTAATTTGAAGATTTTTTTCGGGTAGCATTGGTGACGGCACCGATCTAGGCGTTGTAGGTGATGCGGTCGCCGGGGAAGTTGTCCTTGTGGGAGGAGGGGCCAAGGATAAAGGCGGGGGTGCTAGAGTCATTGGAGGCAGACGAGCTTTCTCTGCTCTTAACTGTGCAGCCGCTGAATGCAATGTTAAAGTATAGCTGTTTGGAGGCTTCAGTAAGCCTGGTATACTAGTGCACTGAAATGAAAAAAAAAAAAAAAAATTGTTATTTGTCGAATAAAAAAATATTTTTTTTTCTGCTGATTTCGACAAACAGGCAAAATTTTATAGAAGAATACATTTAAAAAAAATAAAAATTTTGTGAACTTACTGAAGTCCTGTCAATGGAATCCAGGCTTGATAGCATCGATGACCTCTCCAGGCTCAAGGTCATGTTAAAGTCTCTAAAAGAGGCCCCGGGTTCTAAAGTTGTTGACGGTGAATCTTGCGGTGTAGCAGCCGTGTGTGTTATCATTGGTACTACAGTAGTATTCTCCGTTGTAGCCGAATTATTGGCTAGCATTTTTGATTCCTACAAATGTCATACATAAAAATTTGTTCTTATAAAAATTAAGTCCAAGTCAAAATGTATTTATTCAATAAAGGATTATTTTAAGATCTTATTGAACGTCGATAAGATATCAAGTTACATAGCTACACCATTACCTGTATATACATAAGTATTTAACTTTAGTATTGCCACGCAACAGTGTTCACTGTGGCACGAATGAGCAGGGCCTCATAAGAGACCGGCATGAAGTGGAAGTGTTATACTTCTGCGTTTCGTTGGGTGAGTTAGGTAGCCGAGACCCACTTTATTAAAAGGTAGCAATGCATCTGCGACCCTAAGGGTTTTGCAAATGTCCATGGTTGGCGGTTAGCACTTAACATCTGGTGAACCGCTAGCTCGTTTACAACTTTCTCACATAAAAAACACCATTACCTTTTGCAGGTTACACTTATTTGATTGTGCACAATCCTTGCATAGCGTCGGATGATGGGCCGAAGACCTCGATTTTGTCGATTTTCGTTTCGACTTCATTGCCTTCTCTTTGTGACCATTTACGTCGTCCTTTGCTTTCCTCACATCATCAGCGGACCGCCAGAAGTTCTTTATTTCGTTCTATTTTAAATAAAAAAAACAGTAAATAATACGGTGTAAATAAATGTTTTTATTATATCTTAATAGATGTTGGTAAAGTACGTGATTGTGTCGAAATAAAAAATAGAATTAATTTTCGTCACTACGTTTTCACCTGGGAAAAACTGTCGCTAGAATGGGACCCTGAATTAGATTCGTCATATTGTATTTCATTGTGTTCTGAAAAACATTCGCTAGATAATTTTGACTTCGCTAACTCCCGTTGCTCACGCTCCCTTCTTTCGTTGCGCTAAAAGTTTTACAATTTGTTAATAAATCATATTTTTACCGAGAAAGATATTTAAATATATTTTTTTAAACGTCAAATGGGTCATTAATCTGATTTTTAATTTAGTCGTTTATAATTTTTGTTATTTGGTTCAAAAATTTTAGTACTAATTTCAGAATGAAATTGATGTATAAAATGAGGTAAGCAGCATCCTAGTTTTTTTTTTGCATTTAGAAAAATGATATAACACTTTGTTTATTATATAATAGAGTGTTGTATTACAACATTTAAAATATGCATTGAACAAATTTGTACGTATTGTCATTTACCACTGAAGCATGTTTCAAGATAATAATTTATAAAAGAGTGAAAGGTAATAATCGTTCGTATCAAATATGAAAAAATAAAATGTTTGAATCTTGTTTGTTTTACTTACTTCGGAACTAAAACCTTCAACTAAAATCGCTACAAGCAAGTTAAACAGAACGTAATTCCCAAAGGTCATTAACGCTACAAAATATAACGCCGCCCAGTGACTTGTCTTTTCCATCCCGTTGAATAACACAACGTTCCAATCTTCTTGTGTCAGAACCTGAGAAATCGTGAAATATGTGAATGCTAATTTAAAGCGCTTTTTTTTAATTCTACCACAACATTGATTTTGACATTTTCTTTCAATATATATCCTTAATTAAACAAAATAAGCAGGGTGTGCTGTCAAAAATCTTCGTGTTTATAAGTTGTGCCTTGATGTTCGTTATTATATGTTAAGTTATCTCTTGTCATAAAATAAAGAAAATGAAATAAATTATTTCCGTGATTACAACAGTGTTAGTGTTAGTAGGTGTCGTGTACATATGTTATTGTGTAAGAAAAATATACACTGTAATGAAAAGGAACACAGACGGCGATTTGGAGTACACAAGCAAAACGGGTCCAGCACTCTAAAACTAATTACCAATCAAGCAAGATGCACAAACTACAGAGCGCTCGTATAATACAAAAAACTACACTTAGAACGATGCTTTTGACATTGATATATACAGACACATTATTGTACCAGATCAAATATAGACAAAAAACTATGCAGAACTTGCGAGAAACACGTAGAAAAACCTTCTAAAAGCACAATCGAAGGGACTGCAAATAAACCGACTGTTTGGTACCTTGTCTAACATTTGTTTGAAACTCACCTGGAATACGGTGACTGTGGCCCAGAGGATGTTATTAAAGTGTTTTCTGTCGCACTCACACTTGGGATGGTGCGATACAATCTCGGGGCAAGTGCAATCGCGCTCGGTGCCATTGTCTTCGATGTACTTGCAAAACTTACCACCGAATAGATACATGCCAAGAATACTGCACGACGCGCGGGTCCGATGAAAAAATGAAAGAAAAACAAAATGCTATGCGCATACGCCGCGACCGTGTCAACCGGTTGTTCGTTACGTACGACGTTAACACTGCCATCTACCGCTTTTAACGCTAAACGTGACTAATGTTATGGACGGCTGTCAACGTATATATTTTAATTTGTATTAAACGTAATGTGGTCTAACAGGACTTCATCAAATTAGTACTTTAAGACAAGATGTAACATGAAGAACAGAATCTTAGTGCTTCCGACTGTGAAGCATTCGCAGAGTGAAAGTGCGTGGAATTAAAGAAAAATCGTGAATCTAGACGATTTTTAGAATGCTGATTGATTTTTTTCATCGTAAAAAATAACATTCAAAAGCTACATTAGTTAAGCAGTGTTATCGCCGTTGGTACGCTATCACCAACGGATTTGTTAAACATCTAAATTATATGGATTATTTAACATGTTTAAGTAATTTTTATTATTATTTAGTGCATTTTCCCAATGGTGAAATTATTAAAAGTACATTCATATTATCATTTCAGTATGTCAGAACAGCGTAATGCATAAAATAATTTTGAAGAGAAAAGTAGGCAAAAGAAAAGTGCAAAATAAGTATTTGAAAACGTCCATTCAGTTCGTACCAGGTTTTTTTAAAGTAATGTCATAGCCATCACAAAATCATCAAACGAGATAAATATGTATTTTATAACTTTTACAGAGGAAGACAGTAGAAAGGATGAAACGAGGATGGATTGCAAGCGTTAATCACACTTGGGCCTTAATGTTAGAGAAAGAGGGAAAATTATCAGAGTTTAGATAGATGTGTCATTCAAAAGTGAAAAAAGAATTGAAATAAAACGAAAAAAATGAAATGAACCTTTAAAATAAATAAATAATACAAAGTTTTTCAACTTTATACAAATTAAAAGGACACTTCATTTATTTCGTTTTGAATTTTTAGAAAGATTCTATAAAATAGAAGCTGCATGCATAAAGTGAAAACTGTTAAACCGAGTTTAGCTGTAGTAGTGGGAATTGAAGAAAAGACGTATAGGGGAATTAATTCCGCGGATCAGCTCTTTTCGACCTCAAGCTAACCTACATTTCAACCAAGCTCACTTACTTAACAATGTGCTTTTGTCAAATTCTGATGAGAGTATTTTACAGCACAACATACGGTGAACGTTACACTAAATGATTTTGGAGCAGTTTGTTACGGATGAATCTAGACTCGGTCACTACACGGGTTCTAGGGTAGCTGTTACGCGACTGAACGCCTGTTTGACAACGCACAATGCTGCAAGGAACCATTTGTAATCAGTCCAATTTATCGTGCTAGGATTAAATAATATTTTGTACAATCATGTCTTGCAACAGAGTGTAAAGTCGTTTGTGTACTCGCGTGGTTAGTCAATTAGCCGTCATAAGATCAACCTTTTGATAAAGGATTAACGATTTGTACTTGAGTGGTGGCTGCTGACGGACTATAAGGTAAAAGCGTTAAGTAATATGTAGCAAGTTCAGTCTGTTTTCTGGGTTTGTTTGTTAGAAACTTTAATTTAAAATATTGAATACCTGAAACACTGTGACAAAGGCCCACAAGAGCGTATCAAAGTTTTTTCTGTCGCACTCTTGTTCACCCTCTTCATCTTTCTCGCAGAATTTGCACCCGAAGAGGTTCATACCGAGGATGCTGAACGTTATCACGCAATATACGATTAGATTATAGTAAGGTTTCCAAAGTCCTTCCCAAATGTACAAAAGGGATGAAATAATAAGTTGTACAAACAATGCCAAAGGTGTAAGGTCTAAAATGGACAGTGATTAAGTGCAGGAATCAAATAAATAGAGGTGAAGAAAAAGCACAAAAGCGTGAAAGTCACTATAACCAATAATTTCGAAAAGAGAAGAGAAAAAGTTGTAAACAGTGTGGATAGTGGTAGTGTGTAGTAGGTAGATTGTCACAGATAGAAATGATTGATACATAAGGAAAAAAAGATAGAAATGAAAACAGGGTAAATCACTCACAGTTATACAGTGCACGGGTTAAGGGATGCAAGTGTGACAGTTAAGTAGAAACTATTTCAGATTTACGAATTTGAAAGGTCGAATTAATCTTCTTTCTAAAGAAAAATGAAAGTCCCAAATGAGCAATTAATATATAATTGCCTGGGATAGTAAAATACTACTTGACTGCTACGAGTAAAAAGAAATAGATAAAGTTATCACTGCAATAGAGCAAGAAAGTAAAAGAAAGTAAGGATTAAGTTAAAATTAATATCGTAAGTTAACTTGCACATTAGGGTTTTACCCCGACGAAATATTTAATCTTCTCTTAACTTTGTACGAAAACCCATTGTAATCTTTCAGAACTGTGAACTCAATAATTATAGCTCTTTAGAAAAAAAGGAAAATAAGAAGAAGTAGAATAGGCCGTAAGAGATTCCACGGAGAGTTAGTAAAAAAGTTGGAAATCGTTAAATGAACCCTGTTATTTTAATTTGATTTTTTATTATCATGCATTTTATAAATTGATTAAAGTGATATTTAGGCTTCATATATGAGATATTTTAATAATATATGATTTATTTTATTTTATTCAGTACTGATACATATAACTATCTTTATCATTATAAACGTAACTTATAGATACTTGCAGAAAATATATATTAAGTGAAAAATTACCTGAATATAAATATGAAAAGAACAAGTAATGAGAAGAAAACGGCAACATTGTCCATTGTTCTTAACATGACGAAAAGCTGGCGTCGGAGATTTGGCATGAATCTTACAAGCTTTAAAATGCGCAAGAGTCGGAATGTTCGTAAAACTGAGAGACCAGAACTGCCCGCCATATCCTTGTCGTTCCCGAAACTATGTGCCAGTTCGAATGCACTGTTAAAAACAAATAATATAAAATGATCCTTGATAGTTAATTTTCAAATAGATATGATTGTTTATATAATATTAAATACGCACCTTAAAATTACAATTACGCCATCAAATACATTAAATCCATTAGAAATGTATTTAAAAGGCCCTTCTGCGATTATTTTCAATACCATTTCAATGGCAAAAACAGCAGAAAAGACTACGTTACTTATTTCAACAATGACTGTTAGTTCCTCTGGCTGGTTGTGATATTCAATGCCCATTGATAATGTATTGATGAGAATCGCCAATAGTATACCTATATAAAATAATAAGAAAATTATTTTCAAAGTTAAACGTAAATACATAAGCAAATGTATACTACGAGTAACAAGCAGACCTTGTTGGAAGTATTTATGATTCACAACAGTTTTAATGTTTTTTCTGAACAAAAACAAAAGCTGCGAAATTCTTTTCCAGAAGACCGAACACATATTACAAAGGCGGCCCTTCCTAGTTTCCTTTGCCGCTGCTTCTGCAGCCATCAAGTCAGCGCAACATGAAAAGTCTTCGATTTCCACAACCTGCGAAATGTATTGTTCGTGACATGATGACGAAATTCAAATTCAAAGGGTACATATTGCCAATGCTTGGCATTTCTTTTTACCTTGGTGTCCGACTTTTCGTCTCCCGCTCTCTTGCTGATACCCTTCGTTAGCTCCTCGAAAAATGAGTCCAATGCGACCTGTCCAGTCGGTAGAGCCGCTGATAGTGCCCCTGATAACGCCAGGAGTTCTTGACAAGACATCGTGCCACCTGCAGCTGCACGATCGTCAGCTGTATCACTTGCGGGCAGGTCGAACTCTACATTGTCAAATTAAATTCACTACAGGGCGTGCCACTAAGGGATTCGCATTTAAATCAACCGGGAAAGTATACGTACTGTTTGAAATATATTCTTGTCGCACCGTATACTTTCGAGGTATTTTTTTGTGTACTAAAAATATTGAATAATCTTATGAAATTAAAAATAAAGCGGAAGGATAAAGTTCTATCCTAATTAAATGAAGAGGAACAAAACTAGTCTTAATTGTTAGGCTGGTTTCGATGAACAACACCTGTAGTACAGTGCAATAAAAAATATTGGCTAATAGTCCGTCTAGATCTAACACATTTCTAGACTCACCGCTTTGACTCTTAAGCCAGTCACGTTGGCACAATGAATCTATAAATATTTACATACATAATTAATTGTTTATATCTCTATGAAAAAATTCAATAAAATACCTTTTTTATTTATATTATTACGTGCTATTTTTATTATCTATCTTAAAAATGCAATATGGAAACACGGAAGAATGTTATGAACCGCTGACCATGGAGATAATACTTGATCGTTTGTGCAAAGCTTAGATCATTCTGAAGGATGGAAATGAGCGAAAATAGAATTAGTTACTCAAAATTTTCCTTTTGACTTTATTCTATATATATGTACGTGAAGCAAAAAATTTTTAAACCAGTTTTTACCTTCAATTAATTCTTATAGTTTATATAGAGAAAAAGTGCAGAATGCAAATATTTTTTTTAATTATGCATAAAAAAAATTAAATCACTAAAAAAAATTACATACACTTGCATGTTACATTTTTTTATGTGAAAAGTTGCCAAGCGAGCAGATGGTTCACCTGATGTTGAGTGAATACCGCCGCCCATGGACTGCTACACCCGAGGGTTCCAGATGCGCTGACAACCATTTGAAAATTGGGCTCCGGCCACCTCAGTCACCAGACGAAACGTGAAAGTATTATACTTCCACTTTACGGCCGGTCTTCTGTGAGGTCGTGGTACTTACCCGGACGAACCTGCCTATACGTGCAACAGCCGCAGCTGCTGCGTGGCCCTACCACCGTAAATATAAATTATAGTCGAATTTCGACCATTGGGCGACCAGTAGCAAGATGAACAAGCCGTCATAATACTAGGCTATGGATATAACTGTCAAAAGTTTCCGGCCTAGTAACAGTAGGGTAAATAATATGTTTTCAATGTAAATGCCCTTTACAAACTTATTTGTGGTAACTAGCATTTAAATTGCATTATTTTGATTGTCTAAATTAAAATATATTTATGTTTTTCCGCTTATCTACAGACACCTCCTCCAACTTTTTATATTTATTCATAGGTTTCTAATTTGCAGTTGCAACTTTATTTATGTCAGTAACTGAATTTTTGAATTTTCGCACACTTAAATGGTCATTAGAAAATTAGAAAAGATTTATTAGCAAGACTTTATATTATAAAAACGACTTTATGGATGACAGAATCATTATATAAAATCATTAAAATAATTTCTTATATTACACGGAAAACATCCACTTTGAATGTTTATGGTACCGATTCTTAAATCAAGGCCGATGCTGGGATCTGATCCCAATTGAAGGTTAGTTGCGATAGTGAGTTGTAAAAACAGTAACTCAGAAAAAGTCCAAGAACTTCTTCATTAAATAAGACTTCGTCATATTCGGAAAGGTAGAGAGCCGCCGGGAGATTATTTATTACTTTGCGAGCAATCTAAAAGCTTGTTTTGAGAAAGTGAAATTCCGACAGCAAAAGTTACTTCATGTTCCCTGGATATTATGTGTCAGCCATAAAATCTAGGCTATTATCAGTATATAAAATGGAAAACAAATAATACTGTCAGAATTCGTCGCACCAAAGTTTCATCACGCAAACAGAATGCTCCTAGTTTTCTACGATGATTTCTTTTCTGTTGATTGTCGCATCTGTTAGATAAAATATTTTTTTGACAATGTTCAAGAAATTTTACCTGTTTGTGTCATTTTCTCGGAAGAGCACACGTTATGTGGGTGGGCTGATGGGGTAGTCGGTGTGTGCAATAATACTGTATCGCTGAACATTACCGATGATCGTCGTCTAGCGAGAGATGGCGGTGAAAGTAACGATAAGTTGGACGCATTCTGTATAGAGATAACAATATTTTAAGTTATAATACGATTAATGTTTATAAAAGCCAAAGCTAAATTGAATTGTACGTATTTATTGATTCTGAGACCTTCACCTGTTTAGTTATTCCTTTCATATTATATCATACATGTATGACCTCAAAGCCATAATATAATATATAAAATAATACAATTGATTCCTACGTTTCATAATATGCTTTTTACAAGTATAATTTTAATTATGTACATTACTGAACAGAAAACGTGCACTCATTTCTTACTTATAACATTTCTCGTTTTCAATATAAATAAAAAGCTATATCCATTAAAAGGAAAACGGTAGAAATTACGTATACACACAGTGTGTAAATCCAACGAAATCGTTCATAGAATTTCGAGAACGACTGGAGCTCCAGCCAATGAATAAGATTTTTAGGGAGAATTTGCAAGTGAATGTGTTTCCACGAATGAAATTACCTCAAGATCGGCGGTCGACAGCGAGGGTACGCGCAACAGGCTAGGTCTACTGAGGGGCTCGTCACCCGCCTCCTCCGCCTCCACCTTGCCTCCATTCCCCTGCCGCGAAATCTAATATAATACATTCACCTGTATAAATCCACTCACGTACGCAATTCAGTAATATTGCATGTCAACTCGAATTGAAAGCTTTTCTTTTTAGCACTAGTCTCTGCTCTTAAAATAAATGTAATGTGAATCTTTAGATGAATTGACAAAAGTTTTTACCTGGGGATGGGTTCGTGGACAACAGGGGTGATGTTGTTTTGGTTTATTCGTTGGCAATTGAAGGGTCTCTCGGCTTTGCCGCCATCGTATCTGCGCTCTTTGGTATCGGTAAACCCTACAAATTTTATGTTGTTTTTAATTTTCAGGAAATCACGTATACCGTTTACGGTATACCGAGTATAGTATCACCTAATTTTTTTGGCCATCCTCCTTTTGAATCTTCTCCACAAGTGGGCGACGTATTTAACGATTTCCGCATAGCACGTAGCTGGTTCACTGTTGTTGGTAGAGGACGCCAATGTCGATGAGGAAGTGAAGCGGGCTCTTTCGGCGCGCATCCGCTCCATTTCACGTTTCTTTGTTTCACTGAATTGCGTCGCTATGACGACCAGGCAGAGGTTGATCATGAAGAACGAGCCAATCTGCGAAACACCACTGTTGCTAAAGAAACGAAGGACATCAGGTAAGGAAATACGATGTGAGAATCAACATCTTACCACAATTAGGAGCACGAAATAAATCCAATCCCAGAAACTGTGAGCATCCTGTACGTAGTACATTATATCCGTCCATCCCTCCAATGATATGACCTGCAAGGGAAATCTTCTATAACATGATTCTTTTATTTGGAGATGAGCAAAAGTATGAACCCGTAATTTAGATAGCTTACCAAAAATATGGCCACCCACGCCAGGCCGATGTTGTCGAAGGAAATAGTGCCTTGGAAGGGATTGGACCCCCTTTCTGTGCAATTTGTGTAGTACTGGTTCCAATTTACGCACGAAGTGTTCGTAGGTCTATTGTAAGAGAACGGCTTTGCGGTTTCGTTGCATACGATAGGCCCGTAGCGATATGGTGGGAAGTTACCGCATTGATGCATGCCGCTGTCTCCAGGTGTTGTGCAAATATAGTCCAACTCTTTGGAGAACTCGTAGTGAAACGATATGCTGTGTAGAAATTGGACATCTTATTGACATTTTAAGGCAGCAAGACTTGTTTACATAGACCTAGAAGTTTTATCGGATGCAAATATCTTTTTCGTGAAAGGAGTCAAGTGTATTATATAAAAATTGATTTTTTTTATATATCTATAAAATCAAATTTTAAATAATATCGTATTATTGAAAATAATTTTTAATTATATCTTAATTCATATTAATTATAAGGACTCTTTACATTCAACGTTTGGTATAGAATGAATGGGATTTGTATGTATCGAAAAATGAGTAATGTATCGAAATCGAATAGGTTAGGGTCAAATATGTAACTTTCTACGAAGCTGGACATCTAGATATAATGGAAACGAATAGTTAAAAGGACACACATGCAATCACGGAAGTTCATGCAATGGCATATTCATAACGTGCATGTTAATAAAGAAAGATGGAAAGTGAGGTCGAAGGGTAAAAAATAAGAAATTGTCAATACAAGCAATACGGGGGAAATATAATGCGAAAGATAAAGCCAGTGGTCCTTTTATCACTTATGAGCGGCAGTTTGGGGCGTCGGGCCACGAAACTTTCCTGTAACCTAAATCAAAGCATGCCGGTCATAACGGTATGTGCAATGTGCTTTGTTGTCCATTAGGTTTATATTTATTCGATTAAATTACAGGTGAAATATTCATTCTTCTAAGGAAATAAGCGTCTGATTATATATTATGTAACTTTATATTTTAAACGCCATGAAAGTGATATAACACGCGTCGAAGCAAAAACAAGAACATTGAACAGCCCACAGCCCAGTTATTTGGATAATTCACATTCAATATGACACAAAAGTCAAGCGTTTTGTTTAATAGTGTTAGTTTCATTTACAGTTTAGGCCATAACTAATGTGTTGATTTGAATAGTTAGTAATCCTGCTTATGGATGTGTACAGTATGAAGGTAACTGTTCACTGCATAAATTTAATTCAATCGTAAATTTGTGAAAAGTTGATAGTTTTTTTAGCGACGATATATTATAAGATTGCATAGTTTTAAAGAGCGCGTTGTTTGAAAAAAAAAAACCAACATAAAGAAAATATATCAGAAGTCGATAGAGGTAACCAATCGATTTGAGACAAACTGGCAGTTCTTGATTCATATTTTAGCGAAATGTGGAACGCGATTTCTTTGTCTCGGGGCCTAACACACGATATAAAACTGCCAATTCGTGAAAAGTAAGCAAATATGGAAGTACATCTGGACGGCAGATGTGTGAAGGTACACGTTACAACAGATCTCAATATTTTAACAGAAACATTTAATTCTGATCAGAATTCCTTACGAGTTCACTCTGACGCGCACTCTGTACCATTCTGACAGGTCTCTGGAACATAAAGTGAGGATGTGGTGATGGATGTATGTTCCTGAATAATTACATTAACCAAGTCATGTCAATCTATTAATCGTATTAATTTCTAAAAAAAGAGTAAAATTATTAATTCATCAGCTAAATAATCTACATTCTATATTTTAACTATTTATGGTTAACTACTTTTAATATGTAATGTTTGGAATGTTCGAATAAGAGCTTTACAATGCGAAAAATATGTATTTTAGTAGGTTATCACTGCTACCTCTGCTGAAATGTTACAATGTGTGTATTTATTGTTTCACTCGTATGTAGAAAATTGACAGTATGCAATATTTAAGTGTGTTGGTTAATAAAAGTATGTGATATGTATTAGTTTCGACATGCGCGACCACAATATGTTAGAAAAAATATAAATAATACTGCGATACACGAACGAGGAGCAGCCGTGGATGTGCCCATTGATAATTAAGCGTTAAATATTGCATGCAGTCAACTTTAGCAATGAGATGTGCTGCTAAAACGAGCGCTTTCGAAATAATGATCATAATATGCGGAAGTGATAACAACTCCTAACATTCAACGGATGCGACATCGTCTCCAAATGTTTCACGTAATGATCAATTAGTAAATTCACAGTCAAATTGATCAATTAATCCAGTGTTTTGACGGTAAATAATTAGCTCGACTGTTAAAACGTTAGTGGAATGTACTCACTTTGGGCGCAGGACGTTCGGTGGTAAGACCAACTCGCAACGCTGGCGTAGTATGCCCGCCCACAGCTGAACGCCGACTATACCGAAAATGAAGAATACGAAGAAGCAGAGCAACAGAACATTACCGAGCATAGGCAACGTGTCCAAGAGTAGCATCACCAAGATTCGCATGCCTGTAAACGGACAAGAAATTTTGATTTTATTTCATAGTGTACACACTACGTAAAAGTAAACAAAACATTAAATAATGTATTGGTCCCAGAAGATGAACACAACGATTGTAGATTGTATCAAAGACGATTGTAGCAAAGAAGCAAATGTAATTTTAATTAAAAACTTCTCATATTACAATATATGGAGCAAATGTTGTCCTAAATTAATACTGCTGATATATTATTTAGAGATAAAGTTTCTAAAATTTAAATATTTAAAGTAACTAGGAAATTATCGACGTTCCGAAACCTTAACATGGTTGCGGTTTTGGGCCACGGAGAGAGTTTTCTATTTTACTACTAGAACGTCTTCGGTGGCCATCTTGTGCCAAAATTAGACCACATGTTATTTCCGCCATTACCGGGTCCACTATATTGGACAATTTAGATCCTCGTCCCTATATTCCGTGAACTCATTGTAGCCTTTAGCTACCATTTTTATCTATTCTTAGTGTGCGTGATCTATTCCTAGTGTGCGTGATTAAACAGATAGCACTCTGTTTACGTCTTAACGTCATAGTTAACCTGGGTTACCACCAGCTTTATGAATTTTCATATGTATGTCATCGATGTATGCAACAGCTAGTTTCTACACAAAATGTTATTTAGCATAGCTATCATCGTGATATGTTTGTTTGTAGCCCATGACATTCATGTGAAATAAAATTTAGTTACAAACCATATATTGTAGATTATATTAGAAGTAAAACAGCAAAGGTTAGAAAATATAATTATCGGCTGTAATAACATGATAAAAAAATCACAACTATCATAAATATAACCTAAAAATTTAAAGTTTATCTATTCATGCAAAGTTGGTGAACTACCTCGTATTTTAAAAAACATAAAAATTTCATTATATGATCATGTACAAATCAGTATTCTAAACTAAATCGTTATAAGGTTTATTTTCCACTTCAGCCTTTTCATGTGCTTTCACGTTTGGTTAGATTTCTTGATATTCTCCTGGGACTTTATTGGGGAGATTACTTGTTGCAACATACTCGCCCGTGTTCCCGTACGGAAAAAGCGTCCGTATAGAAAAAGTATCCGTAACTTCTTTAACTCCAGAAATCACGTGTAAACTTCTTAGGACATAGCATAATATTAACGTCATAACTATTTTATTTTCATTACCATCATAGCCCTTGCGTTTTGTATTTACAATATTTGAATTAAATTATATCTATTATCTTTTTTCTATCGTACTGTACGCTAAGAAAAAAATTATTTATGACGGAATCCGTACTCTTTGTATAAGGAAAACTTATACCTCAAGCTCCGAACGGTTAATAAATACTTCGGAAGGCACGACGGTGATAAATACTCATCCTCATAAAGACACAGGAGACACAGGTAAAGTAAATGAAAAAATATGAGCGTTAAAAGGGTAAATCACTACAAATGTATGCCTAGCCACAAAGCATGGCGCAATTTAATTTGTGGTGGTTGCATTTCCGCGGTTATTTACGAGTCCCAGTCGGGATTTCAACCAAAAGTTTCTAACGCCTTTTGTACGAATGCACGGTTTATAATTGGAACCGGCGAAATTTAATATGTGGGATGTCTAGACATGTTTTTTTGGCTTTGGAAAATTGCTCGTCGCTTTTTATATTTCTTAGAAAGCATAATATTTAGAAGTGTTTCAAATAAATCACTTTGTACAGTTAAAGGTGTCAAAACTATCTTTACTCTAACTTTGATTTTCTGCAACTGGCATTCAATACATAAAAACGTTATTCAATGCGCGAACTGTCGGAATAAGGTCAGTCAAATTTGATATTCTTGCCCAATGATGTTTTAAAGATGACGCATGTCCATATTGGGCGGCGATTATAAATTGTTCCGATTTACATTAATATACATTATATATAAGTGAACATTACAAAAGGTATAGAAAACTGTGGTAGGACCACGCAACACAATTCGCTGTTGCACGAATGGGCAGGTCCGTCCGGATAAGTAAAGAAGAAGTGTTACACTTCTGCGTTTCGTCTGGTGGGTGACGTAGCCGGGACCCACATTATTAAAAGGTGGTATTAAAAGGCAGCAAATCTGCAACCGGTGCACCGGTGTTGCAAATGTCTGTTGGCAGCGGTTATCACTTAACATCAGGTGAACCGCCAGTTCGTTTGCCACTTTTTCACATAAAAAAAATGTATGATACAGAAAGAGATAGCAGTGTATAGAGTTGCATTTGCCGTATGCTACCCATATATAGAATTCGACCGAACAGAAGAAAAATAACACCAATTGCTGTAATTTGTATGCCTCAGTTTCGGCGTGCTAGTGCCATATCTCTTATTAGTGCAAAATATTATAATATAATATAATATATATATATATATATATATATATATATATATATATATAAAATAATATATATATATATATTAATATCTTGCCCGTATGGAGTAAATTAATAAAACATAATAAATAACGCAATAGATATATATCTAATTATTTGATGCCATTCATTGAAAACAGTTATTATATTATAATTTACCATGAGCTGTACGCAAAATATCCCGACAGATTTCAGGCTTGTTTCAGTTTGGAAATTTAGATTGCCAAATCATTCTTACAGCGTCGTCGAGATGCGGGCGTGTGTTTCGAAGACTGGCCGGGCTTACTTGTTGCTCGCCAATCGATTCGACCCGAGCTCGGCCTCAGTTCACGCTGTGAGTTAATTTCAAAATGTCCGGCAGATACGAGCCTTTTTACCAGAAACTTAAAGTTTATTCGACCCACGTAATATAAAGGGCGGGAAGGATTTTAGAGTATATTTTCTTCTCATTTCATGAAGTAATTACGTTTGGTCGTGAAAAGAGTTATTTATATTCTCTTCTGTATACTTACTCGGAATTCTGTTGATCGCCCTTAGTGGTCGCAGAACTCGGATTGTCCTTATTGCCGAGAAATTTATATTTTCCACATTTAGCGTGTATTCCACAGCCCTGCGGAAATTGTCGTTTAGTTATTTTAATTACCGGAACGGATCGAATAGAATAAATACAGACTATATTAAAAGATAATACACCGACCTAGAACAAAAACTAAATTAATTTCATTTCTGTTATAATTTTTCGCCATAAAACGTGTCCTTGTTAAGAAACAATGTATAAATCTAAGAACAGTTTATTTAATTTCAGAATACGGTTAATTTGCTATGGGTACTTTCACCCAACGATTTTACAGCATAAAATTCTAAAAAGTAAATATATTTCAGATATATAGGACAAATATGATTTATCTGCAAACATTTATGTAAAGCGTCATCAACGTGGCTTTTTGTGTTATGAATAGTATTTTAAGTACTACATAAAAATCCATCTTCAATCAGAGTCAACCAGTCCACAAACTTTCGCATTTTAATTATTGGTGTATTACTTATATATATATATATAAATAGATTAACGCTGTTTCGTTTATTCCGAGTATAAATTTATTCTATATTAAAAGTAAATGTTTGCATTTTTAACTCACCCCGCCATTACAATGAAGAAGTCTAGTCTATTCCATGAGTCAGCGAGGTAAGTGCCATGGCCGTACACGCCCATTGCAACCATTTTAATTGTCATTTCTAGCGTGAAAAACGCGAATATGATGTCGTCAAATACCTGTGAAAAAACTTCAAGTTTATTTGCAGGAATATCTTTAAAATCTTTTTAAATAAAACTATTTTAACACATTATAATAAAATAATTTTAAAGTAGTTACAAATTGCAGTTTTAGTATTTTTGTCTGTTGAAAATAAAATAAGGAATAATACTCAAATACGATTAAAGTTACTACCCCTGTAGATATATCCTTGAATATCTTGAAAAAGTTACGTTATTAGGTAACTAGTAATTTAAGTTATAATACTTTAATACACGCCGGTTACGCTATTCGATTGAGAGAGATCCAGTATCTGTTCTGCTGTCAGTTAAATTGAAATTAAAAAAAAAATGAATTAAATTGAAACCAGCTAAATTGAAAATATGAGTAGTGTGGTCGAAAATATCCACATAGCCATAAACTTTATTCTTTTTTTTAAGTAACTAATTGCAAAATCGCGTTATACATTAACTAACATGAATACTTGAGTATTTCTTTATAAAAATACAGGTGGTGCTTTAAATCTGAAGCTACAATTTTGGTTTACATATAGATATTTCTCTTTAATACAAAATGCGACGTACGGATAAACATGTATAAAATACGTTAAATATGGAACATTTTTTAGTACCTGTAAAATTTTGCATCTGTTCGTGACACACTGGTCGTCGACGCATGGTTGATACATTCCCAGTGTCACACAGTTCAGCAGTATCACCAGCATTGATATTCGCTCGAACCATGTGTGATCAAGTTAAGGAATATTTATTAAAGAAAGATCTCTTTAAAATACATAATGAAGGCCATGTTTTTATTACTTAAAGTTATTTTGTTAGTATTAGATTGGTGTCAAAAAAAAAGGTAAATTGGGCTGTGTCACATCAAACGCTGTGCGAATACTTAGTGGCCGAGGTTTAGTATGTCCTCAGCTTGAAAGTATCAAGTATAAATTGACATACTTTATACTTTTAAGTTCAAATAATAGCGCCAGCTTCTTTGGAATTGATCATATTCCTGCCAATCTAGGTGGCACATCACGTGAATCGTATAGCTAGCGGTATGCTAATGATGTGACAACAATTATAATTTCTATCGGTATTAGCAAGCTTTTTAACAATAGCCGTTAAATCTTGTTGAATACAGTTATCGGCCACTCAAATATGTGTCCGGTTTGTGATGCCTAAGCGAATAGTTTAGAACTTGCGCCACCCGAGTTAAATATGTGTCCGGTTTGTGTGAACCCACCACCCCCGAAGCCTAAGCGAATCTGTGTGTGTGTTTGTGTCTGTTTGGGTAATAACGAGCATGCACGAATGTAGATATATTAGTTAGTATCGTGCATGATCAGACATTAAATAACATCAGACAGAACAAAGGGCATTAAAAATACGTAAGGCCGTTTTAATTGTTAAGCTTAAAGTATAAAACGGAAGCCTTGTGTGGTGACAGCTATAATTTCGCCTTTCGTATCACAACAATTATTGAATCGCATGCATTAAAATTAGCTATTTTACTGAACGATAAAATAGCAGTTGAAACACGGCCAGCAAAGTCGAAATGAAAATGTCAGTTATTATGTATATTAAATGCCGTACGGTAGCGTAATTTTGATTTACTCTGGTCAATAATTACAAGCATTTATATCTTTCACAAAACGGCGAAAAAAGTATAGGAGACACAATATTAATGATATAGATAAGATACTACATTCTCCAGTAATTTAATACAAATACGTGAACATATAGTGGAAAATTCTTTGTATCGCAAGTATTTTATTGTGTTTAAAATTTAAGCGGTGCCGGAATGCAGCATTGATAATCTTTCCACAAATAAGTTTCATTGCTTTCGGTTTCAAAACTCAACGACGCAGTTGATCAAATGTTTGATCATCGCTTGTGGTAACTTATATATCGCCGCACTCGAAGGATTATTTCCAAGTACCTATGTATGAAAATCACGCATTGAAGCTAAACGCAATCAGAATATGCCTCGGGGCGAATCTTGTTTGAATTGAAACAACTCGAATGTGACTTAGCGATAGGATAAATCTGTACTGATATCGATATAAAGTTATCATTGGATTTGGACCCAAGATTTTATCTAATAGAAAGTTTTAATAAGACATGTCTAGGGGTTAAATAAATGAAGTCTTTTGATACTAAGCCGCTCAAATCAAAAAAATTACCAATCGATATACTCGTGATGGAACCCGTTAAGGGTACATGACGCCATTATGGATATTTTTAATGGTGACTCGAATACCGAACCGTAAAATAGCAATATAAGTCGTTATAAAAAATGTTTACGGGAATTTATTCACAGAGATGCCTGGGCGAGGATCTTCCGAATAATGAAATAGAATAATAATACCGGTCGTTCGATCAACACTGACATTGAGTCAGCGCGGCACCAGTTAACCATAAAACGGTCGTAAAGTTTGCGGAATTACTAGAGCCGAAACCGAAATACTTATTCGGAAAGATTTCCCTAAATAATGACGTTCGACAACATACTTCTCACGCTAAAACTATACTTATTGAACGAAGTTTCTTTGAAGATATTTGATGCGTTTTATAACATTCACAGGAAATTTTATTCACATCTACTCTTAAACATTTTCATTCTATATTCTTTTCATATAAAAGCCTTAAATTTAGGGATGCTCAAATTCGAGTTATCAAACATCTGACTATGTTTATACTTTTACTTTTATATGTGTCTAAGTATATTTTTCACTACATAGTATAAAACTAAGTCGTCCCGCTGTCTGTCTCTATGTATGTAGGTTTGTATGAATAATACATTAAACCCGTGCGAAGCCGAGGCGGGTCGCTAATAAATCATATAAATGAAATAGTTGCAATTAAATTGCAAGTGTATGTATAAAAGTTTATTCCTATTGTTGAAGCAAGTTTAGTGTGAATGTAGTATTGTGTTTTGGGAAATTTCCATGTTTTATAGTCGTTAAATTGACAGGAAGTTTGCATCCCACGATCGCGCTGCTGAAAAATTTCACTGCGGTGTCACACTAATAACCCGGATATCACAAACCGGATGTGCGTAAACAGGAAATGATACGTAAAACTGTGCTTGATGTTTGAAAGTTTGATGAAGGATGCGGCCGGTGATTATTTATAAATACTCTTTACTACTATAATCTTAGTTTTCCTTTTATTACATCAAAAATATATTTGATTTATGTATATGAAATACAAGTAGTTTTTTTTTCTGTTTGTATCATGGAAATCGATATAATAGATTGGACAAAAATGGGAACTTATTATATATTAAATACTAGAGGCCCGCCCTGGCTTCGCACGGGTGTAATGTATTATACATGTTATATGTATAATTCATTGCCGTCCACTTGAATCACTCGATCTAGTAAAAAACCGCATAAAGATCCATTACGTAGTTTTAAATATGTAAGCATACATAGGGACAGACAGACAGCGGAATAAATTTGTTTTATATTGATTGATTGAATATACTTTATTTTATTATGAAATTGAGATGAAAGAAATATAGGCGGCCTTTTGCTAAGCTAGCAATTTCTTCCAGGCACCTTAGGGTATAGGATTAGATAATAAAATAATTGCAAAAATAATTACATAAATATAATTGTATAAAAATAAAATATCAAATATAATACATATGTATATAATAAAAATACCTAATACTTATACTATACTATAATATATATATATATATATATATATATATATATATATATATATTTATACACATACATATATATGCATATTAACAAATACTTATTATTAAGTGTGAAAGTAGCAGAAAAAAACTGACAACAAAAGTTCAGAGGAAAAAGTAACGTTGCGACGAAATTAAACATAAAGGGAAAGGAGATGGGCTTTCAGGTGCTTTTTAAAAGTGTAAAGGGCTTGTCTTATAGACACAGCAAGTGAGTTCCAGAGCTTCACAGCTTGGACAGTAAAAGAAAAGGCATAGAAATCAGTGGTATGAGAAGGCATAGAAAGCGAGCGATAACGAGAAGAAAGGAGTGAACGATCAATAGAAATGGACTGGTATTCAAAATTTTCTTTTAGATACGAAGGAGTTGAAGGGTTAAACAGGATAGAATAAAGTAGGGAGAGAACGTGAAAATCCCTTCGACGACGGATCGGGAGCCAATTTAACTGAGTACGATAAGAAGAGACATGGTCGTACTTGCGTAGGTCGAAGATAATAGAAAGGTTTTGGAGGCGCTCGAGTTTACTAAGCATCTCTTCTGTAAGGTCGGGATTAGATGTATCAGCGTAATCATCAATCTGGATAGGTAGAAGTAGGGTTTGTACAAGCGACATTTTTTGCTGGTTGGTAAAAGATTCCGCAATCGTCTTAAGGAGTGATACGCTGCAAACACCTTTTTACTCACGTAAGCGATATGTGGCTCCCAGGATAAGGTCTTATCAAATATCACGCCGAGATTTTTAACAGTATCGCTGTATGGTATATGGACGCCATCAAACATAACTGGAGGTAGTTGATCAAAGTCAACTCTAGATATGAATCAAGAGCCACCCACCACAATTACCTGAGTCTTTTTAGGGTTCACCGTGAGACTATAAGAGCGACTCCATTCGGATATACGAGAGAGTTTGGTGTTGATGGAACACACCGCTTCGTGTAAGTCACGAATGGGTGCCTGTGAGTAAATTTGGAGGTCGTCTGCATACAGGTGGTACGAAGATGTTAAGAATGAGTTAAATTGTTTATGAAGATCGTGAAAAGTAAAGTGGAAAGAACGCCACCCTGCGGTACGCCTGCACGTGTATCACACCAGGAGGAGAAGGCATCTTCAATCTTAACACGCTACTTGCGCCCATACAGGTAACTACTAAACCTATGATGATGATATGTTAAGAGAGCGCAGCCACCCCAAGTAAGATGTCAAAGTCTACAGTATTGAAAGCATTACTGAAATCAAGTAACGCTAGTACTGTAAGCTGCTGATTATCCATGCCCCAGCGAATATCATCAGAGATCTTTATGAGAGTAGTAGTCGTACTATGACCGGAACGGAAGCCAGATTGGAAAGGGTTAAGAAGATCGTAGGACTCAAAAAAGTGCTTTAACTGGCGATGTGCTAGTCCTTCGAGGACCTTAGAGAGGAAAGGAGGAATTGAAATAGGCCGATATTCTGAGAAAGAGGATGGCTTGTCCTATTTTGGGAGAGGAATAATTTGTGCTTCTTTCCAAGCCGTGAGAAAGACGCCAGAGGTAATTGACCGGTTAAGAATTTTGGTGAGGACAGGAGTGACGATGTCTAGGATAGGAATAAATATTTCGAATAATACTATCGCTTCCGATGGCATTCGAGGAGAATGACAATTTGCTCTTCTTGACGTCACAAACAGAAAATTGACGAAATGAAAAAGGAGGAAAATTGGCTTGTTGCTGTAATGAAAGTGCTATATTATGTAGTGATAGTGACTATCTATTTTATTTTTCCTTAAAACGTAAAAGTTATTGGAGTAGTTTATTTTTCAGTATCAAGAAAAATCGTGTCATCAATGTTTCAAGTGCGAATGGTCATTCCCGATAAAAAAAATTCAAAGAGTTTCATAAAGTTTCTATTGTTCGTACGATTCTATTAAAAAAACTGCAAAGGAAAGCAGAACACTACATTCCCTTATTTTTACACCAACAAGCAAAATTAGTTTCTCGTAAAGGCTAACGCGCATTATCTTCGCTTTTTTGTTGAGCCTCTCTTTATTTA